TCCATAGGATCACCAGTGTCTTCATGGCTACACAGGGGCCATTTGTAGATGCATGGGCCTTGGGCCCTTGATACTGCAGAAATGGTTTGGTGACCGCATATTGGAGGAGATCTAGGCTCAGCAGAGCTTACGGCTTGAATAGGGGGTTATTGACCCCTTACCTGTTTTACTTGCAGCAAATAAGATCATTCATTTCATGCATTAATTAGGACTTATTTATGGCAGAAATCCTGGCCTACCTGGTATAAAACCAAGGCAGGGAGTTGATGATCTCGCAGAATCTTAAACCTGGTATGACTGCATCCAGGTGGTGCAGTGATGTTGTCAGGACCTGGTCTCCTGATTTCTTGGCTCTGCTTTCCTTTATTCTCAGTCAGCCTCCCTTATGAGGACGAGGTGAACACTACCAGTTCCCAGTTTACCTCCTGGCACCTTGTTCCCAACCCCAGTAGAGAGTGTTTTTCCTGGATAGATGTGCAGAAGGCCTACGCTTGGACCCTTGTTGGCTCCGCTTGGTTTAGGCCCATCCCTAAGTAACTCATTGGCTTAGCATGGCTTAGGCCCGTCTCTAAGCCATTCAACGTCCCAGTGTAGGTTAGGCCCATCCCTTTCATTGGCTCATTGTGGATTGGGCCATCCTTGTCATAGGCTGGCCCAAGTTAGGCTCAACTCTGAGCCAGTCACATATGCCTGCTCCTTGATGCATGATGTCAGATCCATCTGAATCACGTGGACTGGGAGTACAGTGGGTTCCCCCAAGGGAGTCCTGGGGCGTCATCACAGACAAGTGGGAGAATGAGTGCAGGGCTAGGGAAAAAGGCGCAGCAGCTTTCTACTACGTCCAGCATCTGCCTTGATGAAGCTTTCTGAGAAGCTGTTTCGGGGGGGGGGGGGGGCAGGTTTTTTCAGAATTAGGGAGGGAAAGGAGGTTGAATATGGGTGCAGCTAAATGTAGTTGTCAGTGAGTTCTGTGCTTAAATGAGGTATAATTGTGCATTTTCTACCAGGGATCCATCTATAGTGACACTAACATATTTAGCCTACCAATTTGTATATATTTTTTTTTAATTTTACTTATTTGAAAGACAAAAATCTTCCATCTGCTCATTTACTCCCCAAATGCCCAAAACAGCCACAGCTGGCCAGAAGTTAGGAACTCAGAATTCAGTCTGGGTTTCCCATGTGGTTGTCAGGAGCCCAGACATTTGAGCCTCTCGGGGTGTGCATTAGCAGGAAGCTGGAGCCGAGCCTTGAACTGTGGCACTCTGGTATGGGATGGAAGCATCCGCAGTAGTATCTTAATTGATATGCCAAACTACTTGTCCCCAATTTTTTTTTTTTTTTTAGATTTATTTACTTATTTGAAAGGCAGTGTGACACAGAGAGGTAGAGACAAAGATCTGTCTGCTGGTTCCCCTTCAAGAGGTCTCAATAGCCAGGTCTGTGCCAGGCCAAAGGCAGGGGCCTCAGCAGTTGGGCCATCTGCTGCTGCTTTCCCAAGTGCATTAACAGGGAGCTGGATCAGAAGCAGAGCAGCCAGGACTCCAACAGCACTCTGATATGGGACACTGCTTGTGCAAGTGACTGCTTAACCTGCTGTACCACAGTGCTGCCCACCCCACTTGTATTTCTGACCACAAGTATAATGCAGTATCCTGCAAAGTGTTGAGTTTCGCTCATTTTTTCTTTGTCCCCAAGGACACATACTAGCCTGTGGGCTCCTTTTGAAGGAGGGGACCTGGGGGACATCTTATTTGAATTTCTAGTACCTTTTGACAAGCTCTGAGCCTGAAATAAACTCACAAGATAAGCTCTTACAGTAGAGAGGCTGCAGAGGGAGTCTACAGACTATTAGCCCAGTGATTTGTAGAAGTTTCCTTCCCTAACCTTGGCTCTGAACATCCCCCAGGTCCTCCAGTGACTGGCTGCCTTGACTCTTTTTTTTTTTTTTTTTTTTTTGACAGGCAGAGTGGACAGTGAGATAGAGAGACAGAGAGAGAAAGGTCTTCCTTTTGCCGTTGGTTCACCCTCCAATGGCCGCCGCTGCAGCCGGTGCACCGCGCTGATCCGATGGCAGGAGCCAGGATCCAGGTGCTTTTCCTGGTCTCCCATGGGGTGCAGGGCCCAAGCACCTGGGCCATCCTCCACTGCACTCCCTGGCCATAGCAGAGAGCTGGCCTGGAAGAGGGGCAACCGGGACAGAATCCGGCGCCCTGACCGGGACTAGAACCCGGTGTGCCGGCGCCGCAAGGTGGAGGATTAGCCTATTGAGCCACGGCGCCGGCCCTTGACTCTTCCTCTCAAAAGTACTTCTCCTAAGCTCCGTCTCCCTCTTCTTCCTCACCTCCCAGTTACTCCTCCACTCATTGTATTCCTCCCCCGTCCTCTGCAGTGTTGAAACTCTGCTTGCTCACCCCGCCAGTGACCCATATTTTCCAGCCCTTATCTCGCCAGCCTCTCAGTTGCAGCCTTGTGGCGTGGAATGTTCCCTTTCATCCCTTGAAACCAGCCCTGCCCAGGACAGCGCCCTCTTCCCAGTTCTCATCTGTCACTTGGTATCTTCTGCCTCCTTCCTTTACTGTTTGTTCATCTGCCCGACTTTCCAGTATTGGCACTCCCCAGAGTTCCGTAAATGGTCCTTGAGGTTCTCTGTTGGTTCTGTCACAAGGAAGAGTAGAATCAACCACAGATGCATGACTCACACATTTGTATTGTTGGCCCAAACTCCACCTTGACCTCTCTGTTGAGGGATGGGCGTTCGGCACGGTGGTTTAAGTTACTGTTTGGGATGCCCACATCCCATATCAGAGTGCCTCTGTTTCTGACCCAGCTTCCTGCTAATGCATACCCTCGGGAAGCAGCAGATAATAGATGAGGTACTTGGATCCCTGCCACCCATGTGGGAAACCCAGATGGAGTTTCAGGCTCCTGGCTTCAGACTGGCCCAGCCCTGACTGTTGCAGGCCTTTGGGGAGTGAGCCACCAGATGGAAGATCACTCTGTCTGCTCTATCTTTCTTTCCACCTTTCAAATAAAATGAAAATAAATGTAAATTTTTTTAAAAATCCATTTTTAAAAATAATACATGAATGGATAAGTGAATGTGACACTGACACATGAGACTTGCAGTCCAGGACTGGGTTCATTATCTGTCTGCAGCCCACCCCCCTGAAGCTTTTCCTGCCGATGTTGTTGATCTCTGATGATAGGGATGGTAGCAGCACCCCACTGCCTATGCTGGGGCCCTACGAGAGGTTCCCCCGACTTATTTTCATCTTCTACCCCTGAATGTAACAAATCATCAAATCCCAGTTACTCTGCCTTGTAAATATTTTTGGATTCCATTTCTCTGCTCTTCACTCTTTCTTCTTTGGGAGGGCATTTTCCTTTCCTGGATTCCTGTAAAAGTTCCCATTAGGACTTGTCCCTCCTCAGCCTTCCCATGGCCGCTGGGATGAGCTGTCACTCTCCTCCAAACCCTCCAGCTACTCCCTTTGCTGCCGGCTTTCTTAGCCTGTTGTCAGAGCCCTCGTGTTTATTTTTACAGAGCCGAATTTTATTAATTCATTTAAAGATGTATTTATTATTCAAAAGTCAGAGTGACAGGGAGAAACAGAGTAAGAGATCCTCCAACTGCCAGTGTACTCCCCAAGTGCCTGTCATAATCAGGGCTCAGCCAGGTCAAAACTGGGAGCCAGACCTGCGTTGTGGTAAAGTGGGTAAAGCCGTGGCCGGCAGTGCCTGCATCCCACATGGGCGCCGGTTCAAGTCCCAGCTGTTTCACCTTTGATCCAGCTCCCTGCTAATGCTCCTAGGAAAGCAAAAGAGGATGGCCCAAGTGCTTGGGCCTCTGAACCCACGTGGGAGACCCAGAAGAAGCTCCTGGCTTCAGAGCTACCTAGCTCCAGCCATTGCAGCCATCTGGGGAATGAACCAGCAGATGGGAGTGCTCTCCCTTTTCTCTCCCCCCACCCCTGTGTGTGTGTGTGTATGCATGCATGCGCGTGCGCATCTCCCTCTCTCTCACTGCTTTTCAAATAAATATTTTAAATGAAACTGGGAGCCCACGTACTTGGCAGGGACTCAGGTACCTGCAACCTCCCAGGGTGCTTATCAGCAGGAAGCGAGAGTCAGAAGTAGAGCCATGTCTTGACCCCAGGCACTGCAGTATGGGATCCCAGGGGGCATCTTCACCACCGTGCCAACACCACCTCCTGTCTCCGGGATTCAGCCCCCTCTGTTTTTTTGACAGGCAGAGTGGGCAGTGAGAGAGACAGAAAGAAAGGTCTTCCTTTGCCGTTGGTTCACCCTCCAATGGCCGTGGCCGGTGCGCTGTGGCCGGCGCACCACGCTGACCCGATGGCGGGAGCCAGGTGCTTCTCCTGGTCTCCCATGGGGTGCAGGGCCCAAGCACTTGGGCCATCCTCCACTGCACTCCCGGGCCACAGCAGAGAGCTGGCCTGGAAGAGGGGCAACCGGGACAGAATCCAGCGCCCCGACCGGGACTAGAACCCGGTGTGCTGGCACCGCAAGGCGGGGAATTAGCCTAGTGAGCCGCGGCGCCGGCCTAAGCCCCCTCTGTTTTAATCTGCTCTGCTGTCCCTGAACTTTCAAGCCAGACCTACCAGACTCCCTCCCCACAAGCCTGTTTCTCCCTCTTCGCCTCAGTTTGGCATCTGTCTTCTCTGTTCAGTTACCAACACTGTCCTTTGCTTATGCAAAACCCCACCTTCAGGAAGCCTCCCCTGACTCTTAGCTTGAGTTTGGGGCTCCTGAGTATTGTGGCACTGGTAGACATGTTGATCATCTTGATTGTGGGGGTGGTTTTCAGATATATACAAAAGTCAACACACTGAAGTATATACCGAAAATATATAAATCTCTCTGCAGTCACCATCCAGTTTAACATTTCATTCAGCATAAAGTTCAGAAGTTTTTTTTCCCCCTGCTACCCATTGTTTAGGTAAATGTGAGTGATAATCTAAAACCTTCTCTCCTAGACACCATGTCGCAAGAGTGATTGCTTCCTCGTTTTCACAATGGAAGACTCTGGAAAGACATTTGGCTCCGAGGAGGAAGAAGCTAGCTACTGGAAGGATCTAGCGATGACCTACAAGCAGAGGTCAGGTCTCCAGGTTCACACTGCTTTTCCTGCCTATGAGAGTAGCACTGGCCAATTAGTACAGGCCTGTTGTGGGCCAGGCCTGTGAAGGGCTTCACTTACACTATCTTAGGACTGCCCCGTGAAGACACTGTTATCACTCATTTCACAGATGAGAAAACTCAGCCTCAGGGAAGACACATAAACCACCAGATTGGAGCAGAGCTGGAATTGAAGCTGTGGTCCTCTCTTGCCATACTGCTTTCCATCTTATTTTTTTTAATCTGGTGGTTTTTTTTTTTTTTAAGATTTATTTGTTTACTTGAAAGTTGGAGGGAGGGAGGGAGAGACACATTCTGGTTCACTCCCCAAATGACCTCAGAGGGTCAGAGCTGGGCCAGGTGCTTCATCTGGGTCTCCCACGTGAGTGCAGGGGCCCAAGCACTTGGGCCATCTTCCACTGCTTTCCCAGGCATATTAGTGCGGAACTGGATTGGAAGTTGAACAGCCAGGACCCAAACCAGCACCCATATGGGATGCCGGTGCTATAGGCAGCAGCTTTATCCACCATTCATGCCACAGTGCAGGCCCCTCTGGTTGTTTGTGTGTGGAGTGAAGAACCTGTCCCTATGCCTAGCAAAATATGCTGCTGCAGATATCAGTGTTGTCTGGGAGTGTCATGGGGTGGAGCTGTGTGTGGGTGTGTTTGGTTCATTATTATTTCTTTTCATTTCTCAACTGCTCTTGGGATCTCCACATGTAAGTGTAATTCTAGTCCTTCTATGTCATCTATTTTCAGCTCTTTTTTTTTTTTAACATTTAATTATTTATTTATTTATTTATTGACAGGCAGAGTGGACAGTGAGAGAGACAGAGAGAAAGGTCTTCCTTTGCCGTTGGTTCACACTCCAATGGCCGCCGCGGCCAGCGCGCTGCAGCCGGCGTGCTGCAGCCGGCGCACCGCGCTGATCCGAAGGCAGGAGCCAGGTACTTATCCTGGTCTCCCATGGGGTGCAGAGCCCAAGTACTTGGGCCATCCTTCACTGCACTCCCTGGCCACAGCAGAGAGCTGGCCTGGAAGAGGGGCAACCGGGACAGAATCCGGCGCCCCGACTGGGACTAGAACCCGGTGTGCCGGCGCCGCAAGGTGGAGGATTAGCCTAGTGAGCTGTGGCGCCGGCCCTGAAGATTTATTTATGTATTTGAAAGGCAGAGTTATAGAGAGGCAGAGAGAAAGAGGTCTTCGATCCACTGGTTCACTCCCTAAATGGCTGCAATGGTCGGAGCTGCGTTGATCTGAAGCCAGGAGCCAGCAGCTTCTTCTGGGTCTCCGACACAGGCACAGGGGCTCCAGGACTTGGGTCATCCTCCACAGCTTTCCCAGGCCATAGCAGAGAGCTGGATTGGAAGAGGAGCAGCTGGGACTTGAACCGGACCCCGTATGGGATGCCAGCACTGCAGGCAGTCGCTTTACCTGCTATGCCACAGCGCCTGCTCCTATGTCTTTATTTTTAATGGTTAGACTTAAAGATAATTTATTAAAAAGAAAAAAAAGCTCTTTGAGTCTTAAGGATTGAGAAGCCATAAATAAGCATTTGAGCTGGGACAGGGACAGATTACAGTGGTGTGGTAAGTGAACATTTACAGTATATCCAGTCTCTACTAAAGATGCACTTAAGAATAAATCTGCAGATGGGGCCAGGTGCAAACAATACTGTTGCATGAAAGAATGAAATGGCTTTGGGGGTGACCAATTTAAACACCAGTGTCCCATATCAGAGTGCCATTTTGAGTCCTGGCTACTTTGCTTTCAATCCAGCTCTCTATTAATGCACCTGGGGAGGCAACAGAAGATGGCCTAAGGACCTGTGTCCCTGCTACTCATGTAGGAGACCAGGGTGGCTCCTGGCTGTTGCTGCCATTGGGGAGTGAACCAGCAGTAAACCAGTAGAAGATATTGCTCGCTCTCTCTCACTCTGCCTTTCAAATAAATCTATTTAAAAAAAAAAAAAAAAGTATAAGATGGGGCTGGCACTGTGGTGTGGTGGGTTAAAGCCCTGGCCTGCAGTGCCAGCATCCATATGGGCACTGGTTCAAGTCCCAGTTGCCCCACTTCCAATCCAGTTCTCTGCTGTGGCCTAGGAAAGCAGTAGAAGATGGCCCAAGTGCTTGGGTCCCTGCACCTGCATGGGAGACCTGGTGGAAGCTCCTGGCTCCTGGCTTTGGATTGGCTCAGCTCTGGCCATTGTGCCATTTGGCGTGTGTGCGCGTGCGCTCTCTCTCTCTTTTTCTCTCTGCCTCTCTCTGTAACTCTTTCAAATAAAGAAAATAAATCTTAAAGAAATTATTTAAAAAACAGAAAAATAGAGAATGACTTTTGGAGTCAGGCGCCTTGGGTCCTGGCCCAAGTTCTGTTTCTGACCCCTCGTGTAACCCCTAGCTGAAGTCCCTCATCTTGTCTAAACTACATCTTCTTGTCTGTAAAGTGAGAATGATAGTTTCTGCCTCAAAAAGCAACTGAGTAAAAAGATGATCCGTGGCCGGCGCTGCGGCTCACTAGGCTAATCCTCCACCTTGCGGCGCCGGCACACCTGGTTCTAGTCCCGGTTGGGGCACCAGATTCTGTCCCGGTTGCCCCTCTTCCAGGCCAGCTCTCTGCTGTGGCCCGGGAGTGCAGTGGAGGATGGCCCAAGTGCTTGGGCCCTGCACCCCATGGGAGACCAGGAGAAGCACCTGGCTCCTGCCATTGGATCAGCGTGGTGCGCCGGCCGCAGTGCACCAGCCGCGGTGGCCATTGGAGGGTGAACCAACGGCAAAGGAAGACCTTTCTCTCTGTCTCTCTCTCTCACTGTCCACTCTGCCTGTCAAAAAAAAAAAAGTGATTCGTGTACGCGGCACCGTGGCACAGTGGCCTGCGCACAGTAAGGCCTCAGGAAACCACCAGCTGACTCCTGTGGATCCCGCTGCAGGGCCGAGAACACTCAGGAGGAGCTCCGGGAGTTCCAGGAGGGCAGCCGAGAGTATGAGGCAGAGCTGGAAGCCCAGCTGCAGCAGATCGAAAGCAGGAACCGAGACCTCCTGTCGGAGAACAACCGCCTGCGCATGGAGCTGGAAACCATCAAGGTGAGGGCCCGCGGGCGCCGCGCCCGGGTGCAGACCGGCTCCTGGGTGGCCTGTGTGCCGGCTGAGGCCCCGCCTGTGGGCCTGCCGCAGGGCTTTGAGAAGCACGTCACGGGGGTGTCCCCGTCTCCTTTCATGGTGGGCGATGCCAGCTTCGCGGGTCACATCGGCCGGGAAATATGTTGAGAGTTTGCGGTGTCACCAGAACTGCCGATCGTTGCATTACAGGGTGTAGAGAGAGTCCTACATGGCAGCCCTCGCTTGTGCCTACTGACGTGTGGCTTGAGGAAAATAAAATTCACTTCTTCAGCCACACTAGCTGTGCTTCAAGTGCTCAGCAGCCAGGGTGGCTGGTAGGTGGCACAGGTGGACAGAGGGGCTGGGGTACGTCTCCATCAACACTGAGTGTTCTGTGGGGCAGCATCAGTCCAGAGCATATCTCAGCCTGGGCGTGGCAGTCATCCCCTCTCATCCACGGTCTCACTCTCCCTGCCTTTAGTTTGTTGTCAGGAAATACTACATGGAAAATTGCAGAAATAATTCCTACATTGTTTTTGAAAGATTTTTATTTATTTATTTGACAGGTAGAGTTACAGACAGAGAGAGAGAGAGACAAAGGTCTTCCATCCGTTGGTTCACTCTCCAAATGGCTGTAATGGCCGGAGCTGTGCTGATCCGAAGCCAGGAGCCAGATGCTTCTTCCTGGTGTCTCACGCGGGTCAGGGGCCCAAGTACTTGGGCCATCCTCTACTGCTATCCCAGGCCATAGCAGAGAGCTGGACTGGAAGAGGAGCAACCAGAACTAGAACCAGTGCCCGTATGGGATGCCGACACTGCAGGCAGAGCATTAACCTAGTGCGCCATGGCACTGGCCTAAATAATTCCTATATTTTAAATAGCCTTTATTACAGTATATTGCTGAAAATGTTCTCTTTTATTATCAGTTACTGATGTTGGTGTCTCACTGTGCCTAATTTGTGCATTAAGTTTTAGGTGTGTACAGGAAAAACAGTACATGTAGGATTGGGTACTAATGTGTGATTTTAGGCATAGTAGAAAACCTTGGAACATACACCCTATGGATAAAGAGGGTCTGCTGTATTGACATTTGAGGCTGAGTAGCTGTGTGCATTGAATCCTGCAGTGTAGGCTGTCTTGCGGCATTCCTGGCCCACACCTAATGGATGCCAGTAACACCCCCACCACCACCACGACCAATAAGGTGTTTACAATCAAAAATACCTCTAGACGTGGCCAAGTGTCTGGAGAACCACTGCTCTAAAGGGTGAGGACCATGGCGTGGTACCTTCTCTATGGCTAGCAGGCGGTCACTAGTACCTGCTGTGCCCCAGGCACCGGCTGTCAGCCCTGACTGCCAGGCCAGCTGCATACGCATCAGGCAGGTCTGACCCCTCTGCTCCCTCCCCTTGCCCCATTCCCCACCACTCTGAGAATGATCTCCTCAGTAACTTAGCCAAAGGGGGCCTCCTGGTGTACCTGGGAATTCTGACAGCTTGCTCATGGACCGAGTGAGAGCCTGCCGTGTGTGTGGTGCTGGGAGGGATGGACAGTGAGAGGAGAGGTGCTCCGTGCCCTCCTGGAGCTTTGTTGGGAAGCAGGAGGGACGAGATGCCTCCTCCCAGAGTTCTGGTGTGAGAGCCTCCCAGGAGGGTAGGGTCTACACGGGTTAGAGAAGGCAGGGGAGGAACTGGTGTTTGAAGGAGTGTGGGCGTCTCTGTGTGTGTTGCTGGTAACCGGTGCCCAGGGGATGGGGGTGTTGAAGGGGTCACATGAACCTGTCTCAAGAATGCGGTCAAGTGGACCTGGGGAGCCTTAGCCTTGTGCATGCGGGGGAAAAAGTGGGGCTGACACTTGGATTGGGGATTCTGCAGAGGGGAGAGGAAAGGTCCCACAGACCTTGGTAGCTGAGCACTGAAGGTCAAGCTTTATGTTGTAGCCCTGAGAGCCCAGACCGGTCATCTGCGCATCCGTCTGGCCCAGAGACGCCATTTGCTGAGCTTCCAGTGGTCTCCAACACTCAAGCACATGGCAAGGCTGAAAGAATTTTCCAGTGAATACTTGTATACCCACCACCTAGACTCAACTGGTGTCGTGTACCTTGCTGGCCTTGTTTTATATCCTCATCTGTGTCTGGCATCCAGCCATCCCACAGATGCGTTGTAAAGCGAACTGCGGGCATCCACATGCACCCCCAGGTACTTCAGTCTGCTCAACACTAACCGGAGCACAGGGTTTATGATTGTTCCTCTCAGCAGTACAATTGACATCTTTAATATGTTGGTATTTAACAGCATCTAAATTGTAAAGCTTCTGAAAAAATCTGCAGAATAGCTTAAGTCTGGACACACCCAGCCCGTGTCTCCCACACCAGCACAGAGCTGAGCAGTGGTTGCTTAGGACAAGCGCCCTCCTGAGTGCTGATGCTGAAGGCAAGTATCAGCTGCCTCTTAGCCCTCCACCTGGCCCACTTCACTCGTCATTAGGGGCCTGACCCCTGCCAGGAGCAAGGAGGAGTCGTCATAGTTGTTATATTGGGGGCTCAGGTGCAGTGCAGAAGGAGGATTCATGTTATGAGCTGCAATTGGGAGAGTAAGAGGCCCTTCATGAAGGCTGAGTGAATATCAAGCGGTTACTAAGTAATTAGCTGCTTCTGGGCTGAACCCTTGAACCTGCGGAAAACCTCTTCATTACAGCTACCAGACAGGGCAGGGGGCGGGAACAAAGATCTCAGGACAACCAGCCAGCAAGCGTCTGTCCCTCCCGCACCTAAGAGGACTGTGCCCCGCCCAGAAGGACTTCTTGATAACTGGCTTATTCATCACGCCTTGGGTGGAAAAGCCTGGAGGGGCTCACACAGAGCACCCATTGAGGCCTCTGTCAGCTGACACTGTTATAATTAGCCCCGAATGGAAGCACACGCTTCAGCCACAGCTTTTCATGGCTCCATGTTCAAAGGAGCTGGTCTAAAAGTCTGCAGGTGCTTACAGGGCCTGTTCACAGCATCCTCCTGGAGCCTGTGTTTGAATTGAGGTCAAAGATCCAGGACCCTGATTTATGTGGAAATGTCCCCAGATAAGGGGCAGGAGGCAGGCAGAGCCCTGCCTGGGAACTAGCCCAGACGTGGGGCCTGGGCTGCCTCAGCTGGCGAGTGCAGACGCTTCCTCTGCTCAAAGCCAGGAAACAGGAGCATCAGAGGGGCCCTGGCCCCTGTAAATAATCTGCTTGTCCTTTAGAAGTTCTCTCTCTCACAGTGGCTCTCGCCACGCCCCTGCAGCCTCAGCACCATTACCTCACTCTCCCTGGCTCGTCCACCCTGTGTCTAGCGTCGGCTTTGTTTCCTTATTGAGTAACACGGAGAACGCTGCCTTTTTAACTTCTCAGGCTAGACCTTCATTGTTTGCTCTCATGGTTGTAGACGCTAGGGAGGATATTTGATGAAGGAAAGGAATGTCAAAGAGGAGCAGAATTGGGAAGGAGCGTGTGTGTGTTCAGTAACTTGGTGACCTGGATTGAAGTGGTTTACAGACATTTAGCCTCGCTGTCCTACAAGCACTGGCTCAGGGGACCTGTGTTTGATGTTGGCTCAGGCATTGGCTCCCTGTTGACTTTAGGCTCATTAAGTCACAGAGCCTCCTTCCCACAACCCTGAAGTGGGATTAAATCAGACAGCAGAGGCAGTGTCCTTAACGCAAAGGCTGGCGCAGACTAAACCTGGGGTAAACATTTGCTGCTGCACTTGGACAGCAGTGCACCGTGAAGAGGTCATCTGGACCAGTCTCTGCCTTTAGACAGCACTGACCGAGTCACACTGAGCACCCTCGGGTAGTGGAGAGCAGCTGTTTTCCTATCCATCTCTTTTTCTTTCTCCCATTTGTTCTCCCTCCCTTCCTATCTTCCTTCCTTCCATCCTTCCTTCCTCAGAGGTTGAAAAGTTCCTTATAACTCCCCCCATGTGTCCTGAGTCGCAAAATTAAAGCAGTTGTCAAGCTCCGTACGCGAGCGATACCCTCCTTTTCCTGGGAGGCACAGGCAGGCAGTGCCGCCACAAGCCACAACCACGAACCGCTGGTACTTCATTTGCCACATAGCGTAGTATGCGGGGCGGGTCCCTGTTGCCTTTGGGGGTGAGGCTTGGAGGGCTGCATGCGGCTTTTGATGGTTCTGGGTGCTTTGAGCAAAAAGGGATTGATTGCAGATTGTTGGAGGCTGCATGGACCAGGTTTGGAAGTGGGCAGAGGACTGGGAGGCAGGAAGCACTCAGGTGATTAGGACGTGTCTGCTGTGAGTGACCTCCACTTGCTCCCGCTGTCTCTCATTACTTGCTGATTCCACGTTGGTGCCGAGTGCTTTGATAAAGCTCAGGTTTGCCTCCTGGTTGGAGACTGGGAGAGGGAGTCTGCAGCTGCCTCAGTACATGGGATGGAAGGAGGATCTTTAAGACTCCAATGAAGGGGAGAGAAATCCGGTAAAGAAATCAGCATGTGGGGAGGGGGCAGAGTGGATGACCAGTGGCTGCAAAGCGCACATGCCACCCTCAGGAGGGCCTGTGTTCCATGATTAACCCTCAGCACCTGTACAGAGCTGCAAAGAGGAGAATGAGCTCTTCTATCGGGAGTCCTAAGTCATTGACCCAGCGTGAATTTTGCCTTTCAGGAAAAGTTTGAAATGCAGCATTCCGAAGGCTACAGGCAGATCTCTGCCTTAGAGGACGACCTTGCACAGACGAAGGCAATTAAAGATCAACTGCAGAAATACATCCGCGAGCTGGAGCAAGCCAACGACGACCTGGAAAGAGCCAAACGGTGGGTGGGGAGGCAGAACATGGGCTGGGAGCCTTTTGTCTCTGCCGTTGGTACCAGGCACTGTGCTGAGCCTGGAGAGCAAAACAACGCAGCGCCTTTGCAGATCTTAGTGTCACGGGGGAAACGGACAACCAGAGAATCAGAGCAGCTTAATTACAGTAGTAAGTGCTGGCGTCCAGGGTGTTGCTGGGGCATGCAATGGGAGAGATTCATTTGGCTGCTGGTAGGGGAATGTCAGACAAGGCTTCCCAGAGGAAATACCAGTTAGGCTAAGATCACAGAGGGGAGTAGCCATTGTCCTGGGGGAAGTGTGTGAGGTCAGAGTGTTCCCTTCAGAAGGACAAATGCTGGTGCCGCAGCTCAACAGGCTAATCCTCCGCCTAGCGGCACCGGCACACCGGGTTCTAGTCCCGGTCGGGGCGCCGGATTCTGTCCCGGTTGCCCCTCTTCCAGGCCAGCTCTCTGCTGTGGCCAGGGAGTGCAGTGCAGGATGGCCCAAGTGCTTGGGCCCTGCACCCCATAGGAGACCAGGAGAAGCACCTGGCTCCTGCCTTCGGATCAGCGCGGTACGCCGGCCGCAGTGACCCGCCCGCGGCGGCCATTGGAGGGTGAACCAACGGCAATGGAAGACCTCTCTCACTCTCTCTCACTCTCTCTCACTCTCTCTCACTCTCTCTCACTCTCTCTCACTCTCTCTCACTCTCTCTCACTCTCTCTCACTCTCTCTCACTCTCTCTCTCACTCTCTCTCACTCTCTCTCACTCTCTCTCACACTCTCTCTCACACTCTCTCTCACACTCTCTCACACACTCTCTCACACTCTCTCTCACACTCTCTCTCACACTCTCTCTCACACTCTCTCACACTCTCACACTCTCACACTCTCACACTCTCTCTCTCTCACTCTCTCACACTCTCTCACTCTCACACTCTCACACTCTCTCACTCTCACACTCTCTCACTCTCACTCTCTCACTCTCACTCTCTCACTCTCTCACTCTCTCACTCTCTCACTCTCTCTCTCTCTCTCTCACTCTCTCTCTCACTCTCTCTCTCACTCACTCACTCTCTCTCTCTCACTCTCTCTCACTCTCTCACTCTCTCTCACTCTCTCACACTCTCTCACTCTCTCACACTCTCTCTCACACTCTCTCTCACACTCTCTCACACTCTCTCTCACACTCTCTCTCACACTCTCTCACACTCTCTCACTCTCTCTCACTCTCTCTCTCTCTCACACTCTCACTCTCTCTCGCTCACTCTCTCACTCTCACTCGCTCTCACTCTCTCTCGCTCTACTCTATCAAAAAAAAAAATGACAAGTATGGAAGGAAAGGAGAATGTTCAAAGAACAATGCGTATAAGACTTGGGCCATCTTCCACTGCTTTCCCAGCCCACAGCAGAGAGCTGGACTGTAAGTGGAGCATCTGGGACTCGAACCGGTGCTCATATGGGATGCCGGCACTGCAGGCAGTGGCTTTACCCACTACACCACAGCGTCAGCCCCTATTTAATTATTTTGAAGATTTACTTATGAGATCAATGTTGTGGCACAGTGTGTTAAGCTGCTGTCTGAAGCACTGGCATCCTATATGAGCGCTGGTTCGAGACTCAGTTGTTCAGCTTCCTATCCAGCTCCCTGCTGATGTGCCTGGGAAAGCAGCAGCAGATGGGCCAAGTCCTTGGGCCCCTGCATCCATATGGGAGACCCAGAAGAAGCTCCTGGCTCCAGCTCTATCTCTGGGCTATCCTCTCCTGCTTTCCCAGGTGCATTAGCTGGGAGCGGGATTGGTAGTGGTGCAGCCAGACAGATACAAGAGAGCTCCCGTTTGCTGGTCTGCTCCCTAAAAGCCCTCAGCTGGCCAGGACTAGCTGGGGATGAACCTGGAAGAGGAACTCAGTCTACTACTCGAACATGGGTGGCAGGAACCCAACTATCTGAGCCGTCACCTGCTGCCTCCCAGGTGTGCCAGCAGGAAGCTGGAGCAGAGACTCCACTCCAGGCATGCTGATAAGGGGTGTGGGCATCCCAAGCTGTGACTTAACTCTGTGTCAAATGCCTGCCCCCACCCTTTAAATTTTTATGTATTTTCAGTTTATGTGAAAGGCAGGCAGACACACAGAGCTAGGAGGAGGAGATCTTTTGGCTCTTTAAGGATGCTATTCCATTGGACTTGTTTCTGCAGTGGAAGTTAGAATAGTTATGTTTTTTCCTCGTTGCTGTCAGATTCTCTGTATCCTGATAGGGCTTAGCTGCGCTTTTTCAGTCTTGAAATTTTTCTTTGGCCCAATTTGATTTTCATCATGACTCCTCAAAGATTCTGTCCTGCCCAGTCTTTCTCCTTCTGGGACACAGCGAGGGCATGTTGTCTTGTCAGGCAGGTCCCTGATTCCCTGTTCATTTTTTTTCCCCTGGTTCCTCAAATTGAATGATTTCTGTTGATCTGCTTTCATGATAACAGACGGTTTCTCTCTTCAATCCGCTGTTAAATTGGGTCAGTAATGTTCAATTTGCTGTTTTTTCAAATCTAGAATTTCTATTTGGTTATTTAAGAATTATTATTTCTGTTTCTCTACTGAGATCTTGTACTTTACAATCCTTTTCTTCTGTTTCCAACATCTAGGTTATTTCAGGGCCAGTTTCCAGTGATCGCCTTCTCCCTCTAAGATTTATTTTTTATTTGAAAAGCAGAGTTACAGAGAAAGACAGGGAGAGAGAGAGGTCCTACATCTGCTGGCTCACTCCCCAAATGGCCACAACAGCTGGGGCTGGGCCAGGCCAAAGCCAGGAGCCCAGAACTCCATCCGAGCACTTGGACCGTCCGCTGCTGCTTTCCCAGATGCATTAGCAGGGAGCTGGATGGGAAGCAGAGCAGTCAGGACCTGCGGGATGCTGGTGTCACAGGTGGTGACTTAACCCAGCATACCAAAATGCCGGCCCCTGCCTTTTCTCCTGAGTCCTGTTTTCTTTGCCTTTCAGAAGCCCAGTAATTTGGGGTTAGATTCTGGACATTGAGATGTGTTGCAGAGACGGCGATTTCTCTCAGGTTCTTGCTTTTCTGTTTGGTGTTGTAGAGACTACGAGTTCTCTAAAGTTCTTGGTTTTCATTTTTCAGGCAGTTAACATGGCTGAAGTTGCACTCCAAACTGCACGTGCCCTGTGACAGGCAGTAGATGGAACCTGTTTGGTTCTTTCTTCTGTTCATGGGCTGCTTCAAGTCCACCATGTGCATGCGGTTCAGGGTCCACCAGAAATGTTAGAATTTTTAATGCAGAACCTGGGCTCTCCACCATTGTTCGATTTCTTGCACTGATGCCTTAGACAAAAAGCTTGTAGAGGCAAACTTCACCTCTTCGTCAAGGTGTTGACTCCCATCCAGTTTCTGCCAGGGTTTCAAGTAATTGTTTTTTCACCTTTTATTCATAGTTTATAACTGTAAGCTACCGGAGGTTTTGTCTCATTGTTACCAGAAGTGGAACTTTGTTTCTTGTCAGTTTGTAAGAGCACTTATTTTTGCAACTCATTTTTTGATGTGCATTGAAAATATCTTTTTCCAGACTAATCTTTATTCTGTTGGCGTTTGTTTATGGTGTCATTTTCCATACAAATATTTTCTGTGTTTTGAAGTTTATTTTCATTTTATTTGAAAAGCAGAAAGGCCAGCGCCGTGGCTCACTAGGCTAATCCTCCGCCTTGCAGCGCCGGCACACCAGGTTCTAGTCCTGGTCAGGGCGCCGGATTCTGTCCCGGTTGCCCCTTTTCCAGGCCAGCTCTCTGCTGTGGCCCAGGAGTGCAGTGGAGGATGGCCCAGGTGCTTGGGCCCTGTACCCACATGGGAGACCAGGGTAAGTACTTGGCTCCTGCCATCGGATCAGCGCGATGCGCCGGCCGCAGCGTGCCGGCCACGGTGGCCATTGGAGGGTGAACCAATGGCAAAGGAAGACCTTTCTCTCTGTCTCTCTCTCTCTCACTGTCCACTCTGCCTGTCAAAAAAAAATAATAAAATAAATAAATAAAAAAGATTAAAAAAAAGAGAGAAAGAGACAGATGGAGAGAGATGTTCCATCCTATGGTTCACTCCCCAAATGCCTACAATGGCCAGTGTTGGGGCCAAGCCAAAACCAGGAGGCCAGAACTCAATCCAGGCCTCCCACGTGGGTCGCAGGGACCGAGATACTTGAGTTATCACCTGCTGAGTCCCAGGGTGTGCTTTGGCAGACACTGCATTGGGAATGGGGTGGCACAGACTCAGACCAGGGACTGCAGTGTGCAATATGGGCATCAGAAGCAGCAGACCAGCCGCTGTGCAAAGCGTCTTCCCTAGTTTCTATCTTTAGGTCCTCACGTACATCTTTTATAGCTTCTAGGTTTTGAGAGACTTCATTAGGGCAGTCTTCTTGATACTTTGATTGGGCGTGTGTTGTTTTATTATTTTCTGAAAGGTTTTTTATTGTTTGATTTTTTTTTTGGTACACTTTGCCTTAATCCACTAGGAATTTATATTTGTATCTAGGGTTAAATATGAATCCACCTTTATTTAGGTGTGCCAGTGGTATTAAACGCGTCATCTTTTTTCCATTGATTTAAAGTCCATTTGGTCATCTGTTCACCTCTCACATATTCTGGGATCTAATTCTGGACCATCTGTTTTGGTGCAGTGTGTAGGTTGTGAACTGTCTCACCAATACCATAATGACTTGATTACTGTGGATTTGTGGTCTGTGAAGCTGCATTCTGAATTCTGACCTCCCACTTGCACATCGTCACTTCCCTGTTTATCATTGATCAAAGCAAGTCACATAGGCAAGCTGAGTCAGAGGGTGGGAAAGACTATTTCGCCGACTGTAAGGCTGCAACCAGGGTGCGGATCAAGGAGGGGTGAACCATTGAGACTAATGATGTAGTCTACCGTAGTGTGGTTGTATATTCACAGAGTTAAAAAATATATGTACAAAGGGGTAGAGTTTTGTTCATGTATTTGAGAGGCAGATACAGAGA